TATAATAAGCTGAAATAAACATTTCATAGAAAGCAGCGTGTGTTTTGTGGTCCAGATTTGGTCATAGTTTCATTAAATATCTTTAGCCTCTTTGGACAAGAGCCCCTCCGTTTCATTATGAAAGTGCATTCCAATGCATATCCCCTCAAAATTACTTTCCGCTATCAACAAGGAAAACAAATCAACGTGTGTGTCTGACTGCATCTACACAACATACTCGCCACATCAATAAGCCAATGGGGGACAGTTATCATGCCAAACTGATAGTGTGAGTACAGGGAGTTTCTTAATATTTACAAGAGCTAACTACTTTCAATTAAAAGGTCATTTTCTCCCCCCTGAATGGGACTTGATGATACCCTATGAGGAAAGAAAAGCTGTGTATTTGCATGACTGAGATGCAATTCAACCGCCTCTTTATAGTCATCCTGTGAACATTTTCATGTTAAATCAGAAGACTTAAAAAAACCAAACTACCAAATTAGAGGCAGACAATCGTTGAATCTGATGTTAAAAGGGATTCCTGCATGGAAAGTGCTTCTCGTGATTGAGAAAGTGCTCACATGCTAGACTTCTTTAAACATCTGTTCCCACTCTCTGGCTCAACCACACTGAATGTGGGTCATGCAAGAATCATAATTGCATACAGACTTCACATACAGAGAGGAGGAGTCTTTTTTCCCTTCTTTTTAGAGCAAGTGCTTGTGACAAGGAAGCAAAGTAACTACACAGCACTTTTGATTTTACCAGCAGCATCCTCTATAAGCCCTAACCAGGACTGCTTGAAATGAAAGCTATAATTGTCATGTATAAAAAAAGATTAGTCAGTCAGTTATTGCTGTAAAATCTCAAGACCTCGGTGAAATGCTTTCCCCATCCCTCTAAAACTAAAAAAGAAAAGTGCCAAAAAAAGCTGCTGTTGCTGTTGAACGGAACCAGCAGGAATACTAATGAATGTCAGTGACAGTGCGAGTAACGATGTCTCAAAGGATTTACTTTTGTTTGTGGTACTAACTAGTTATATAAACCTTTGTATTCTAAGAAATACTGTGGAAGTGTGTGCACAAGCATAAAGGTAAATTGGATGGTTAATAAGCACAGCGTGATAGCAAGCGTTTATCCACATCTCTTTATCCCACACTGCATCAGTTCTATGCACTTAAAGGCCTGCATTGATATAACAGCCCAAACACCCGTCCCTGACCACTTTATATCTGCCAGGTAGGGCCAATTCTGCAACGTTTTACAACTACCTATAGTAACATTTAAAAGGCAGCAGTCCTAAACAGAACACCATCACCGAGACACACAGAGTACAAACTCCTGCCCCGAGGCCACATGTCAGGGACTTCCTGAGACCTAAGCCTGTATGTAATTGAGGTGAAATGGCCTGTCTGGACTGAACTGAAGCCACGCAGTGAGGGGGAACCAGTGCAGTCCTTGGGAGTGGCTAACAGGGTCACACTGACAGACAGGAGTCTGTACAGGCAACCTCATGATGGATGTTTGAGAGGGAGGTGTACACTGGCCCATACACCGAAAGCCTGCGTAATTCCATGTGCAACCCCCTCCCACCCCGCCTCCAAAAACCACATGTTCATACATGGACCGCCTCACCACTCAGCTTCAATGCCCCTGCGATAAATAAGCCTTCAGACTAATAACGCTAACTCACAATACTGACACCCCCACCTGGATCAAGCTAGCACCCCAGTCACAGCTAGCGCCTCAGTGTTACTACCCTGCTACTGTGGGTGAAGCTCGTCTTTAGCTTCTCAACATAATTACAGCCTAGATGAGTGGCTTGGAAATGACAGGCAATTAGGCCTCCAGACAGTATGATACTGAGGAGCACCCTTACTTCCAGAAAGGATACTTGGTGTAGATGAAAGATCCAGACAAATACACACATTTACGACTTCCCCTCTCACACACTCTGATAGCAAGTGAATTCATGATCACTGTAAGCAAAGCAGGTGTAATTTTCAGCAGAAACGACACATGCATCAGTCCAATTAGCTGGACCGGTGTCAAGAAACAAGCAAAAGGATGAGTAGAATAAACCAAGCAGATTCTTACTTGAACTTCTGAAAAGCTTCATATGTGGCTGCGTGCACTGCCTGCAGTGTCACTGTTTGATTTACAGGATGGACAGACTGTGGGGCAATCCCTTAGCGGGATAGAAGCACAGCCAAGGAGCAGATGATTAGAAAGCAAAGAAAAAGGGGAAGATTGGGAGGAAATGATTTTTTTTCTAAGCCGATATCCCTGTAAGTGTTCTCTGTAGACCAAGTGTGCAGATGGTAATTAACTTAAACGGTAGATAATGTCGTAATTATAGTAGCGTGCACCACTCTATTTCGCGTCAACATTAACACACAAAATTAGACTGTGGTTTGGAGGCATGTCGAAACGCAAGTCTAGAGAGAGGGGAACTTCTCGTAATTCTCTGCCATCAACATAAGTTTGAAAGTAAAAGTTAGACTGCTTTTGTAAACGTTGAAGCTGATAAAATAAAGCAGTGGATAAACACAGGATACAGTGAACTTTTCGACATAAAAACAGTGCACCTAAACAAAGCCTCTGCACCTAATCCAGATTTCAGCCCTTTCACATGGATCATTGCCTTCCTTTTTATCTACCATTTCCATAACAGCTCAGTTGTGAGCAGCCTTGTTTACAGCCAGCTGCACAGATCATCCTATGATGCTTTCCAGTAGGGGAGTAACCAGACCGATGACCTGCAAACTGTTTCGCCCTGTGAATGGAAAAGCCAGGATAAAGGGAAAAAGACTTTTCCATTCCTCTGAGTCAGAGGAGGATTTTAAATAACCTTTAGAGCCATACTCTTTCAGAGTCTCTGACTCCATCTCTGCTGGCTCAGGCCCATTCGCTCTGTAGCTTTATCTGCAGCCCTCCATTCTAAACACTACTCAAATTTAATGGATGGCTCAACTAAAAGACTTTGGATAAAATCACAGTCTGGCCGCCTTTCTTTGTGATACTTAAAAGGCGCCCGGCCTTTAATTTACTTATTAGACTGCAAACACAGAGCGGCACAGCGAGAACGTGCATTTACTGCAGTAACATGTTTATTAAGGATGCTTTAAAAAAAACAAATGCGAGTAAAGAAGCGCCTTAACTAAAAGATAAAACGAGAGGCAGCGTAGAGCCCATGGGAAGCGGGTAATTGAGCAGAACATATCTTGATGTTCTGGTGAAACCCTGCTCTCCATCTCTCCCTGCAGAAGATGAATCACACCATTGTTTGTGTCACCAAAATTACATAAGAGCTTTGCAGACCTCACTCAGTTCAATTGCATGGTAGAAAAGGGCAGAAATTGAATAACTGCATCTTGCTAGAATGAATTAGGTGGACCACACAAGTTTTGTTTTTCCAAAACGCCTTTAAAAAGAAAAAAGTAAAGTCCTTAGCTAAACTAATAAAGAAAGAGTTTGGCTGTTAGCAGTAAATTATCACGGTAAAATGTGCATGACTCTTTAAATATGGGGTCGTGACAGATGAAGTAGATGAGAGAATCCTTTCTTTTTAGTTTGAATGAGACACCGATCATCTCTTCTTTCTTTCTACTTTATAGGAAAGGAAAATGAGACTACCAGCTAATTTTGACTTTCTCCATTTCAGCACTTTTACATATAGGAGATCACAGCATCCTATGAGTAGTGGTGCGTTACTGCTGGGCTATATTACATCCACAGTAACTAGGACCGTTAACGCTGCGAGTCACTGCCTTGCCTTTGCATGCCAGTATACGGTGAGAATCCTATGAGAGATGTAAGGTGTGGCACAATAATATTATCATTAGCGTCTCCATATAAACAGCAGGAAGGCTTTTACCAGAGAGAGTTTATGGATGGAGAAGCTGTTAGATGTGAGTGGTTGGGACAAGAGTCTTTGGGACAGATCCCGCAAGAGTCCAGACAAGAGCAGACACATCCCTGAAGATTCAGACTAAACAAGGCCACATTAGAAGAGCCATAATTCAGCCGAGCAGCATTCTTTGCAGAAAGAGACAAACCTGCTTCCTTATTCAGTCCTAAATTAAACTGTCTGAACATTGCACTGCTGTGTCTTCAAAGCCATTTAAGGCTAGTCATTTTGATGTCTTACATCATATGCAGAAAATACACCGTGATGGCATGGGCTATAAAAAAGGTCACTTTTTTCTCCAAAAGGCTCCTCATTTTGATTACAGTGCACCGGCCAAAGCAGGAAAGTACCAGTAATATGGCTGCAGGGTAAGGTTGGGTGATATGTAAGAATTTTCCAACCGACAATTGTCAGTCCAATAAACTGATGATAGGCGATATATTTACGCATGCACAGGCTTTTTGATGGGCGTAGCAATGTAATCATGCACAGACTGATTTGCGTGCTTAGAACACAAAAGAAGTCCAAACATGGACAACCTAATTGGCTTGGTGGAAAATGCATGAAAAACGTTTCCCATTGATGTCACACATGGCACGGAAATGTTGGCTGGAAGAGACATTTTGATTTTTAACTTATTTGTTGTTTGGTTGAGTGTGTAAGACAGACATATACTGGAACAGCCTGTAAACACGGTTATACTGGAAAAAATAAGCAAGTTTCTATTTGTTTCCTTCCCCACCGTTGTGTTTTTTTTTTATTTAAATAAAATGTTTTTGGTTTTTTTCTGAAAACAGGCGACTGTCGTCCTTTCTTTCTGTTATGAGTTTGAGTAAATGAATCGCTGCTGCACTCTCAGGAGGGTGCATTTGCTCGCAGCTGTGGAGAGCGCCGTTAAAACAGCGCTATTATTTATTTCTGTTGACTCCTTCTGTTAGCTTCAACCAACATTATAAGCAAACTTACTCATGGGCAAATAAATAAATCGCCCTTGTAAAAACGATCGATAGCCTCAGCCCATCGTCGATAGTCAATCTATTTGTCCAATCGCCCAACCTTACTGCAGGTGACACACAGGTTTTGGTAGCTGTTCATGTAGAATATTTACAGATATCTGGAGATTCATCTGAGCCATCTGGACAGTCCTTCTCCCCATCACAGCGCCAGCCTTTGGAGATACAGGTCACCTGGTCCTTACATACAAACTGTTTAGAGCTGCAAGTCTTGGGCTGCTCGTCTGCTTTGGAGCTGGGAGCTGAAAAAGAAAAGCAGGAAAGAAAGGTGATGGTCATAGAATCATAAAATTTAGAGAAAAAAATCACATTAAAAATGAATGAAATTCTAATACTGGTAACCTCAGACTAACTTTATTTTTATAATGGAAGCAGAAAAAAAACACTCTCCTCCATACAGACTCTAATTTCCCAATTCAAACCGCATAGATCCTAACTCAGCCGGCAAAGCAACATGAAAAAGTTACAACTGTGCTTTTTGTGTTCAAAGTTTAAAAAGAAAAGAAAAAAAAGGCATTCAGAAAAAAAGCTCCACAACCAACAGCGTTTCTGTGTTTGTTTGCTGTTTCTCCCTTTTCTTCCGCAATAGAGGAAACAGCATGCTACTATTTTTAAATTACTATTGAAGCTGTGTTTTGTTTTGTTTTAAATTCTCACTATACAGCCTCTTTCATGTGTCCTGGCTCAAGCACAACTGGGCCACGGCACATGGGTCCCCTGGGTCGCTGCCTGACCCATGGGAAACTGCAGAACACGGTAGTCCTGGGCAGCAAGTCAGCAGAGATTGCTGAGGCGTACAACACAGGCTAGCCACACCACAGCAATGCTCCTGACACATCAGCAGTCTGACAGTGCTGACATGTTTGAATTTACAAAAACCCATGTCACACAGAGCTCTACCTACAGCAAGAGGCTTGAAAACATATTTTAGTGGTATCAAGCCACAGGAACAATTTTGATATTATATTTGGTCCTCGCTCTTCCCCAACTTAAAAGAGAAAAATAATAACTTTGCTCGGAGTGCAGGAAAGGTTTTTTTTTTAATTTTGTACTAAACAAAAACATTTAGGTTAAATATATCACACAGTATCAGTGGGATTCTCTTCACCTGGCAGTGAACAGTACAGCATAGGTAACCTAACCAAAGACAGACAGAAGGGGGTGGGGGCACCTAAGGCTTCCTAATTTCAGACACCCCTGCTACTAGCAACAGCACAAGTCCCCACCAGGGTTTAGTTTTTGTAATTTAGCTCATTTAAGCTTATAGTACTAAACTCAATTTTCATCATTATTCTTAAATATATTAGTTAACCTTGAGAAAGCTGAAATTGTGCAAACATTTCCTCTCAGCATACAGAAGAGTGAAAATGGGCAGCTAGAAAAGCACAAAGCAATTGCTTTCTTTTATGTGAGTGGTCAAAAAAAAGAGAGAGACTGCAATGGTTGTTGTTACTGTACTGTTGTGCAGCAATGCTCTGGGAAGGACAGCACCAACAGTCTCATTGTGATTCTCTGCAGTGACTGAGCCCTCGCTCACCCTGGATGACTTGCCTCCCTATGTACTTGGCAGGCAGGGAGGTGTTTGGGGTGAGTGGTGGAGGGGTGTACCGCAAGCGGGCCAGGATGTGACTGAAATCACAAGAGAGCGCGGAGCTAGTGTATCATTGCAATCACGTCTCTTTTGACTGTCAGACTAAAGGCTTTGGAACTGGACTTTTCTTTCTCTCCATCGGACAATGTATGTTTAAGTAAAGCAATAAGACTTCTGAGTGTCATGTTTTTGTACTACAATAAGAATCTAAAGGGCTGCAGGGATCAAACTGCAGCACTCCCATTATACAGCAACACCTTGATACTCAAGGAGATAAAGAGAGAGTGCTAGATTTTAAAATGCAGAGCTACAGCCTTGAGTTTTTTTCTCTTCTCTCTTCTTAAACAAAGGCTGGAGGAAAGCTTAAAAACAGTTTCAAGTGGTGCAGAAGAACAAGACTTAAATGTAGCTTTAAGACATCATACTCCAGAATCTGTTAAATGTCACAAGGCTCCGATAGGAGGCTAAATCTGAGATAAGAGTGAGAAAGGGAAGCAGTATAAGAATGGACAGAGACCATGAGAGATGGAAGCTAGCCATGGCCTGAGGCCAGCCTGTTACTTTTGCTTTCTTTCAGCCTACTGATGCCCTGGTGCATTCTGGATGGCGAAAAACACACATTAGCCTGTGCTCATATGTCTTCATTTACTCTATCTAGAGAGCCAACACCCCAAAAATAGCGTCACTGGTTGAGCTGAGCTGAAATGAATTGAAGTATTGAAACCTCCTCTATGTTAAGGTATTACTTTAGATGCTGTGTGAAGCAGCTAAGCTGATCCAGTTATTGCCTGTGAGTTGACATGAAACTGGAAATAAAATTCTGTGGGATCTAATTTTATCATCCCTTTACACACCAGCATGAAATGACCGCAGAGGGGAGAACCTCCGAGTCTAATTGGAGGTTGTGGCTGAGGAGGGGTTGGAGAAGGAGAGGAAGACTGGCAACCCTCCCCTTCAGCAGTGCTTTTTCAAAGCCCACTGAAATATCTCAAACAGAGATGTGAATTGTTAATTCAGGCTTCAAAGTCATTGTTTTTTTCCACAGCTAATGCCAGTTTTGGGGATGGGTGGGTAGGTGAGGGTCCAAATTAAACTGGGCTGTTAAAGTACTAGTACTCACATGAAAAAAAGTCATGTGTACACCTTTTATTTAGGCTCCTGAATCAATGAATATACTCTACTTTCATGAGCTTGTACAAGGCTAGTGTTCAACAGAGTTCCCTCCCGATAATGCCATTCCAACGAAAGCTTTTCCTGGCAGAGCTTAACAGCAACTTCATAAAACCTCTGTGACTAAATACTAGAAAATTCAACAGCATCGAATATATTGCAACCACAAAACAAGAGGAATATCACATTTTAGAAAGAAACAACAACAACAACTCCTTCTGTTTTTCACAACTTTAAAAAAGATCAGGTATGACAGCCACATCCTTCCACGCTAAAGATAATTTGAGAAAAAAAAACATCCTGTGGGTATCTGCTAAAGCAAAAACGCATCTAATTAGAGAGAAACATGAGAAAAATAACCTTCAGAGCCTAACGTGAAATCCTCAAGAGTTTAGAACTTCATACCATTGCTCAGTTTTTGCAACTTTGGAAACTCTACAGGAAAACAAGCTTCTGCAGACAAATTACACTGTGTGCAAAAATATTTATCGGCTGTTATTTAAAGCATTTTTAAAAAAAGAAGAAAAAAAAGCTTCCACATAAACAAAGTCTATTATTTAATTATAGTTCAGTTCTGTTGCACTGACAATGTATTTTACTGAAGAGATCTTTGTAGAGAGAAAGATATTAAAAGCTTTCCATGTGAACATAAGGCTAGAAGTGGAAAAAAAAATCAATAATTTAAACCTCTTAGGGGGTGAAGGAGAACTGTACGGACACTAAATGAAGATCTAGGTTGAAATATTAGAAATTAGAGACCAATTCTACCTTGATATTTGTGATGTTGTGTGCTATGCAATTTTACTTACCAATAAAAAACAAACAAACAACAACATTCAAGAGTTTTCTTCTGGTTAATAGTCAATGAAAACTAACTGTGCAACTGAGCAAATACCACACATTTCATTTTTCTTCATTGATATAATTTAACTGCACCTTCCTTCCTTGGTGCTGTGAGGAAAGACCAAAGGACTAAGCATGACTGTCTGACACAAAATCCTCCACACTGTTGTCACTAAAGGTTTTTGAACAAATGCTGTGTTGACACCCACAAAATGCTCTAAATCACTGAGCTACTTCCTCCTATGTGGATGCTCAGGCTCCATTTGGCTGACTGGCTTTGACTTCTACCATACAATCACTTGTATGAGGCCACACTGTACTTCCTTATGCTGAGCAGCTAAAGCTCTGCACTGTCTAAACAGGACACACTGACTTGCCCCCAAGCACGGTACATAGGAAAAAGCATTAAATACGAGCGAATGAGGAAATACCTGAATGTATACAGAGCCTGGCTCTTCTAGAAACATCCCTCCCGAGTGCCTTACAAGAATATAGTATTTTCACTCCTTTTTTGTTTTGCTTTTTATAAAGATGAAATATACGTGTTGCTTTGTTTTTATCCAATCCAAAAACTTTAAGGTTGAGAGAAAGTTCGCTGGGTGGAACAGGATGTGGTGGTGAGTAAATGGTGCTGTGGCACCAATTCAGCTGCCAAGTGATGGAGGCCTCCAGACACTATCACCAGCTGGGGCACCACACTGACCCAATTTCGTCCCTCCCAATCTGTCTGACTCAATATGGCCATCCGTGCTGTACAGATCAACTCCAGATCCATGTAGCACATTCCAGCACCTTCTAATTGGTTTCATATGTATAGCTTTGCCTCAAAAAGACAATCAGTTACAGATGAACAGCTAGACTTTAAAGGAGCCTTACAGTTTTCATTTTGAATTCCAGAGAAAAACTGGTTGTTTCTCTTTGCTAGCCTGTTAGCAAAGGGTTAAAAAAGTTCAGTTTGACTGCTGTGTACCAGAAGCTCGGCATAGTTAAAACAGTATATCACCGCTATACGGACTGTCCTATATAGGCACAAAAAACAAACAGCTTGATATATTAAAAGGCAGTTTTGTTTCACAAGCATGCATCTGAAACTGAGCACATCCCAGAGTTCAACCCGATCAATGCCCTTGTGGAATATTTTGAGGCTGAGCAATAGAGCATGGATTTTATTGTGAAAAAATAAATGGGCCTCTGGGTCTCAGTTGGGCTACTAGGTGTGATGACAGTGACATGAGAAAGTGGGAATGAAACCAGGGCTGTTCCTCATCACCCATCACGTCGGCCCTTCCCGCTCCTTCTATGTGGCGCACAAACCTTTCAGAGCAGCTTAGAGAGAAAAAACACACAACAACAAAAACCTCCAAAACACACACAACCCAACTACAGGCTGTAATTAGAGCCTTGAGGTCACATTTAAAGCGAGTTTTCTGTGCTTCGTTTAGCAGAAAGTCAAAGCAAGAATCCCTGCATTATGTGTAAAAAATGAAAATCAAGTAGCCAATGTTTTTTGGATTCCATTAATTATTCAGATGGAAGAGAGCATTTTCTTCTAACCAAAATCAGTGCACTTTCAGTGAGAAGAGGGTGGAAAATAAAGTACAGCCTCATATGTATAGAACAGAACAATACAACGGTGATAAACACAATCTAACCTAAGGCCCTTCACAGGCCACTGAAGCAGCAACAACTCGGCTTTGTGCTGAAGCACTTAAACTAGCTCACAGTGAATTTGTATCCACTGGCTATTCAAAATCTAAACCACACCAGGCATTTCACTGAGGCTAAACATGCACGAACAGCAGAAGCCCGAGTCAGAGTTAGCCTCTCTCTAGCGCCTAAGAGGCTTGTTGTTGTGCCACTGCACAACAAAAGTCTACAGCTTTGACCTCACATGTAACCCGATGAGGCTCTGCAGGTTTTCAAAAGCCTGCGCAGTAAAATGCAATGCAGTAGAAGACATGCATTGACTTAATTTGATTGATGGATATAAAAGAAAATGTAAGTAGGCTCAGAGTCTGCCGAACGAAAGCTCTTCTAAACCCTGTAGTCTCTGCAGAACACGGCTCCGTGAAGCCACAGAGGAAAAGTCAACCCAGATTCAGCAGTTATGAAAACAGAATCTGCGAGCTAGAAATTAATGCTGGACCACATAAATCGAGGCATTCGCTGCAAGTCAGATGCTTGCAAATCCTGAAAGGTAGGAATAAGGAACCAATTCACTATGGCCACAAACAAGAGGGCTGACATGAGTTGGAAGATGATTGTTTCTTTGATTTAATGTGACTGGATTGCTATGAATCCCTCATTAGACTAAAGGAGGCAGGAGGGGGGATGTTACTGGCTCAATAAATGCCTGGAATGAGTCACAAACAATACACAAATGAGTTGTCATCCACTTCACATCTCAACAGATGACCTCTTTGTTAGTGGTGAAATCATCAATCCGGGCTGTGAAATCCCAACTTTTTTTGTGTGTTTTCACAAAATGTTCTCAAGATGTTAAAACACAGCTGGTACCTCAGCACCAGCATTGATTAGTTAAAGCTAATGAACAGTTGTCTCTTGTAAATAAAAGTTTCAATTATAAATTTCCTTCAGAATAACAGGAGGACACAGCTTTTTAATTTTTTTAACTTGTCATAAAAAGCTATGGATCGCTGCAAAAACAGTTAAAGTCAAATACTACACTTAGCGTTCAGTCGTCGAAGTATTCTCTGAATAAACTGCAACAGGTTAAAAGAGTTACACAAGAGTTCAGCAAGACCACCGCTAATTATTTTTCCTACAACATCATGAGAAGTGCTTGTACTTTTGCCCTTCCTGATGCAATCCTAAAGGGATTTGTGACTCTTTTTGGCATTGAACTGGGAACTCTTGTAAGATCAATGTGTAAAACACCATACTATGGAACTAGCAGTAGATGTGCCTTTGCCATCTCAACACATGAATGCCATGAAAGTTTTCTGCATGTACTGTCACCGTCCAGTGGAAAAAACCACTGAGACTAAAGTAAACAAGTTTAATAAATTGCAGCAAGCCATGAAATTGGGACGCTATCTTCATGTATAAAGATCCGCTCCTCTTCCCAGGTGTGACAGCAGCCGAGTGTCTCTGCGATCGATCGGATCTCTAGTCAAGCGCAAAGACAGTAACGCTGCCAACGTCTTAGCGTGCATGCCAACAATACTGACACACAAATCGGAAGTCTCTAAAAAAAACAAAAAAACAAAAGCTGACAAGCTTCGTGTTCAGCTTGTAGGATCAGTAGTCTCACAGCTGTGCCAGATGTAAAACAAAAGTTCTAATCTTTTGCAGTTTTGTTCATGTTCTGCAGGTTTAAAAAATATGACATTTCTAAGAGTTATCATAGTAACACTGGACGGGAACCGAAAGCAAATTAAAACACGTTGCCTGAGTCAATTGTCGCAAAAAACCCCAAAACAAAACAAAGCAAAAAAACCAGTATATCTTACAGATCTTAATTACCACAAACCCACACTTCCTATTTGGCTAAAAAAGCCAATCCGGTTCTTTTTGTGGTTTTAGAAGCCGAACAGAATAAACAGTGATGTAACTTGTAGAAAACACCAATTACAGCACATCCCTGCTATTCAAAGTCAACAAACACTGTGGTCTGACTCCTTCGATATGTGGCCAATAACAGTGAAGACAGTTGTGCTAATCTCGTTTTACCTTCCAGTCACAGTTGACTGCGATGCAGCGCAGGAAGTGGGAGGATAAAAGTGGATCTTCACACCGACAACAATCAGGAACACCGCTTTCAGCTATCATCATTTCGCAAATATTTGTTGCTCAAACCAGAAGAACAAGAATGCAAAACCTCCTGCACATAAGCTTTACATTAAATTTCACATAGAAATCAAAGAATGTATACAGTCTGGACATCTGGCTTTATTTTACTCCTACTTTTTACTTTTCTTTTTTTTTTTTTTTAATTCTCTTTGACAAGACTCTGAATGGCAGGAAATCTTTCTGAGGGATATCTACAGCAGATGGGTTTGCAGTCAACAGTCATTCTCAGGTGTACAAAGTTACAAAACCCACTCCCCAGTGACCTCCACTCAAAGGAGCTGAAGAGAGCAATCCAAGTTCTATTATCTGTTGAATTTGTACGAAGGATGCCAAATTTTTCCAGCAGATGTTTCCAGTGACAGCTCAGAGGAAAAGGTCTCGTTACGAGGGTCAGGCAAATTCACTCTAGACTCCGCAGGAATTCAACCCCTTCTGCCTCTGACCCACATTTAAACATTTCTCAATATCTTTGGCCTCACAGGAGTGTTGCTGTAAGGATAATTGGTTCAAAATATCTAAGGTTTTATTTAACATTGTATCATTTAGCATGATGAAATCTGTTATTTTGAAACATAAAAACCCTTAAAAAAAGGAATCAGATAATGAAGTAATATCCTGTTTAATTCTAAACTACATTTACTGTAATGTCAATTACAGCTGACATGATTAGCCAATTCTCTACCAATTAATCAGTTAGGTTTGCCACATATATTCCTGATTCATCACTTAGACTATTAAAAGGTCAGAAGATTGTTAAAAATTCTTAACACGATTTGGCAACTTTAGCTGGTTTATTTTAGATTTTTTAAAAACCACACTGATAAACAGCCCAAGAAAACCATCGATTAAAAACCTGGGGCTTCAATTTTCTTCTTCTTCTCACATCTCAGCTGATTACTTCTTTTACACAAAACACAAAGCGTACGACGTTCCATTTTCTCAAATGTTAGAATTTGCTGCTTTTTTTTGCTTGTTTGCTCTGACTGAAACAGCAATGGGGTTTAGGCCTGAGACATGGACTAAACAAGCCATTTGAATGAGACATTCTGGGATCTATAAATTGTGTAAGAGACTTCTTCTTCTTCTTCTTTTTTTAAATGCCAGATCACTAATGAAAATATCCATTTGCTACAGCCATAGCGATCACACAGTTGGAGCACGCATCAATTCAAATTCAGCCTGTATCTCCTCATACTCTCCAACAAACTCGTGGATTCATTAGAAGATCAGTAACAAAGGGATCTGTCCAGATGATTAATTGTTCATTTTTCCCCACTCACTATAAGAAAAAGGATTTAAAACTTTGCCTTAGGGCTCCCCCCCCCTCCCCTTGGCCCAACACAGTTCCTCAGCTAAATCAACTGCTAATAATGACATAAGACACATATAGCTCCATGGTTTCCATCCCTGATTCCCTGTGATGCAACTTTTGTGCTAACTTCAGACTATCACATTTTTCATTGTTATGTGACTCTTGGTGAAGTTTTTTTCTGTTTCCCTTTTTTTTTTTTTGCTACACCGTCCCAGCTCTTCAGCAACAACACCCCTCCTCCTTAGTCACATTTAAGTTGGATTAATGGTCTCCTCCCTGTGTCCAGATGTTACATAGTGATGGAGGAGGGGGAAGAGGAGCTTGCCCCCTCCTGTAACCTCAGCTATGCCTTTCCCTCTGGACAGCCTCCCTCAAAAAAATCTGATGAAACTTATATAAGAACTCCAAACAATGAGCGGACCTCTGTAGCATTAACAGATGTTAATGCCTTACTTCACTCTCGGGCACTCAAGTAGGCTTACGCTAGAGAAATAAACAGGCCAGAGGCGGATGATGGCACCACCTGTGAATGAGTTTTATATTATATGAGTGTAGTTTCAATATATAATATGAAAAGAAAGAAGATATCTGAAAATACTTAAGAAAAAAGGGAAAGCTGTCAGCTCAACAGGTCTGCAATGCATTCTCACAAGAGCATTGGCGCATTTGATAGCTCATTGTTGCCATCAGGGAAAAATGTGGGGAGTAGTAGTGGAGCTGAGACTTAACAGGATAAATGCACGTTTTGTTCGTTTCACTATCACTCGGGACCTGGCTGTCACAAACACTGTGATTTCCAGGCATCTCCAAACGCTACACGTCGGGGCAAGCCGCGCCATTAAGCAAGCAGACACAACTGATGTTTGCGTTTGTGGCAAGTACCTGAAAACAAACATGTAAACTGACCTAAACGATGCCTCCCCACAGGTTTGATACTGAAGTCGTGCTGTACCGATTTGGTGAATAGAAGAAAAAACCCAGCCGACTTGGTTTGAATGGAAAACCGTAAGATGTCATATATATCTTTTATTTCTCTTTTTTATTAAATGCAAGGTGGATTTGGGCATTCTGACACAGCCAGTGAGAAATCCCGTCTTCAGTGAGAAAATAGGTCGCTCGTGCCAGTGTTGTGATAGCCTTTTACCTGCTTCATATTCTAGCATGACTAACCTGACTGTCTCCTATCCTTACAGGGAGGCCCATTCTGTCTGCTCAGACAGGGGCTCTGCTTAAAAAAACGCAGCCAGATTTTAGGCCAAAAACAACCACAGCACCGCTTTATCCGTGCGCTACTTTCTCTCGTTTAAAGGCTTCCCAAAAACGATCGATCTCCCCCTCCTCCGAGGAGCCACACTGTGTTATTATCACGGCAACCTATTCATGGTGTTCGCTCCAACTCTGGTGAACGCAGGCCTGTGCGCAGATGCTTTGCAGACGGGAGGAAAAAAAGTGCTCATGCTTTTCTCGAGTATCACAATGCAAGATTAACACAACAGGCTTTCTTACCTACGGTCGCGCCGTTAGGAGATGCGATCTCCAAGCAGAGTATAAATCCCAAGTAAAACAACCTCATCGCCATCTCCTGATGAACTGCCCGATGGCACTGCTGGTTAGAAAGGAATAGATGAAAAAGTTGGCCGGATTTCTAAAACCAAGCAGCCACCTCATCCGAACCCTCTCAGTGGTCCGGGTGAGATTGTCCGGCACGCTGGCCGCTTCGAGACGGGCTTCTGCAATAAAGGGAGACTTGCTACAGCCCGATGAGGCTATAGGCAATGCTGCAGCACAGTCATGTATATTTCTAATTGATTATCGGCATTCAAACATGATGCACAGTGTACCCTCTGTCTCCCTGTGCTTGCTGGGGTCTCTGTTTCACCACACCATGCCACCAGAATCGTCCGCTGGTATAGAATAAGCTCTGCAGCCGCCGACTCCGTTCAGCTCATTCCGTGCTAAACTTAAAAAAAAGAAAAGAAAAAAAAAAGAAAAATGAAATGGTAAAAATCTTTTTTCCCGACTAAGCGCCAACGTCTCCCTGTGCTTGTGGCAGCATGAGTGGATGGTCAGCCTCTCAAGCCCCAGCACTGTGGATGAGTCCGTGACGTAACGACTGACTCCTCTAAAAAAGAAAAAAAGGATAACTAAGAGGGAAACGACCCATCTGCGCATGCCCCAACACGACTCTTTTTTTTTTTTTTCCCCTCCTGTTTCATGGGCTTTTTCATCAACCGTGGAGGTGGGATAGAGAGGTGGAGCTGCAGCTGTCCCCCTGATAAAGCCATGTTGGCTCAATTTTCTTTCTCCAAAAAGTTAGAGTAACGCAGTAAGTTCTGTTTTGGTATTTTAGAAAAACGGCAAGCTGTTTTAAAACGTGCTGAACGCAACGTCTGGGTTAAAGTATACCCCCCTCCCCAAATAACTTAAAGGTAATTAACTTTATACAGGTAGAAGAAATAATTAAGAGTGAAATAAAACCTTGCCTTTAAATGTAAACGCGGTTTTCTCGTCATTATCCCAGTATCACATTTTTATTTAGGTTACACGTCAAAGGCGTGAAGTCTGAGTGCAATAAATCGTGTAGCCTGAGGGGGTGGGGGAGACGTCAACCTCTGGTTTCGTTACTAAATCATGCCCCCTGGTGGCACGTAAAAATGACAACTCGATGCGATTGTTATGAAATACGTGTGGGGGGGGGTTCAGTATTTATATGTGTATGTGATATGTTTTACCAAAGTTAACAATTAAATTGCATTTAAAAACGTATATGTAGATATATATATATATATATATCACCATTTTACTCAAAGAGCAATGAGACTAAACGCATTTCCAAAAACATACAGACTGTTTTTTTTGTTGTTTTTGTTCTTTGGGTTGTTTGTCTGTTTTTAAACAGAGCTTTTTCTTTCTTTTTAATTATTTCAATTTGTGAAAAGACCGGATAGGTTCATTAACCATCCAAACCTACAGGGGGCACTGGAAACTTAGATTTCGAGAGAGGCATGCAGACTAACTCAGTTCACTAACAAAGCAAAATAGAGTCCAGCAGTTTATTGCAATGGTTGGTAAATTTTACCTGATAGAACATCTGAGAAATGTCCGATCAAAGAACCGCTTGTTTAAAAAGAGAATAAAATGCCTCTGAATGCGAAAAATGCTCATAAATGACTCTTTCTCTAAGTGTATGGTGGGTAATGCAGTGGATGTGTCCCACTCAGTCAGTCATCATGGGTACTAAAAACAACAGCTGTGCATTTCGCTGCCCAAACTGACGGTCATTTTGCTGCCACCAGTGTTAAGAATAGGAATTTCTTTTCAGGGGTGTTCAGCTTACAGATGTTTACCCAAAGCCCGAATCACACGAGAGAATGTCAAGTATGCAGAGAATCTGTGAAAAACATGCTTGAAAATTCTGGATGTCTGTTAAAAGCAAGCATATTTAATTTGAGTTCAAGCATGAAACTTGAATATAAATAAAAAGAAGGTTTGCAAGGAAATGCTGTGGTGGTAACTTAACTGTTTTGCAGCCACGCATTGCATGCATTTCAGTAATGCTCCCTTGAAGCTTTTCTGGAAAACATATTTACTGCCAGCAAATTTGTCTGCTTTTTTTAAAAAAAAAACAAAAACTTGCTGTACATCCTGTCTGTCAGTGCACTCAATTACTGCAAACCCTTGTGTCACCTCCACCTTTTGTGAAAGGAGATTTGTGCATTGTCATTTAAAAAAAGACAGACGCCAGCATGTTGTGTGGGAGACAGGTTGAAAGAGTGCCAGCATAAACACTCCCAGACCACATGTTCTCCCAGGGCAGAAGGGCTGGCTTCTCTCCAGGCACATCTGCACACAATCCCTCAGCTCTCAGCGAGTGAGCCAAGGAGACAGAGCGGGGCAAAGGAGGGAAAGGAGAAGGGAGAGAGAAAAGCATTCCCAGACAGGGAGAACCTATCTGTTATGTGAAAAGTACCATGGTGTCAGTGATGAAAGTGATGACATCTGACTTAAAGAAACAAACAAAACAAAACAAAAAAGACAAAGAGAGCGAGAGAAATGATGAAATTTAAAATACAGACAGACAAAAATTTACTCAGTTTGAAAAAGAAGTAAAGTTTTGTGACTGAGGACTCACCACCATCATTGCAAATCTGTACATCTGTATCACACCGTTAGTTTACATGCCAAGGTCTGCTTGGCTGCAGTCATTACTTGTATCCTTGAGAGAAGATGGATTGCTGCATAGACAAAGCTGCTGACTCTCACTTAGCCACAGTCTACGTTTTTTTAATGTATGCATGCCTTATGGCTGCAGATGCATGTGATTTTCCACACATTTTTACCCCGATGCACATATTTTTTTTAAACACACACGCATCCCACTTCCTATTAAGCTTTCCTCAAGGTTTTTCTTGTTTTCTGCCCTTTGGTTTACTGGCAGAATGTGGCGCTGTGCTTTTCTTCTTCTTCGTCTTCTTTTTTTGTTGTTGCTAAAAGGTAATTACTGAGCAAGCAATGCTGACAACACCTGAGGAATGCAAAGCATGCAGCACTGGGCTGTGTTCTAACCACCCACCAACCTCTCCCCACTCACCACACCTCGCTTCTCCCCATCTGTGACCCTCCCCCATTGCAGCCAACTAGCAACTACTTTCACAGGGATCGTAGATGCAGATGTTATACGCAGCACTGACGTGATTCTACCAGGAAATATGAATCAACAATAGGTTACTGCAGATTAAACTTCTTCATTAAAAAAATCAATGAAATTATGATTTTTTTTGTCTTAGTGTGGAGGAAAATCCTATCCAAAAAACCCTTCCTCTTTCCCAACAGGCCCTTTTATTCCCGTTACTGGTGAATTTGCAGTGTGTGTTGGCTAGCTCGGGCACACTGCTGACTGAGTCACTCCCCAAACTGTCCTTGAGCTCTGTGGAACTCACAGCCCATCTGGCTGAGTACTTGCACAGATACACACACATCAAAACATTGCATAGATTTAAGCAGGGGAAGTAAATGACTATGGGTGACCCAGTTGTGGTCTGAAACTGGTCCAGTCGAAAAAGAATCAATATCTGGCTGGAGAGAATGATGCCATACATAGAATAATGTTATTTTGTCAACCAATGCATCGAGTTTTGACATTGCACGCGTGCACATACTTGGGAGACAGCGATAGAGGGTGGAGAGAGACACAGAGATTATGAATTCAGCTGAGCCTCTCCCGTCTGTCTGACTAGACCATCATGATGAAATCTGGATGAAATCCCTTGTGCATGTAGATCAACCTAAGTTTACGGGCTCGGTCTGAATTTTACAGTCAGAGATGTAATATTCACATACGACAGTTAGGTAAGAAACAATATAGCTGATGTTGCGTATGTTTTCTGCAAACATGAGGATTAATCAGAGTACACAAGAAAAGGCTCGGGGGTAAAAAGATTTATATGGCAAGCAGCTCGTGTTAATAAAAACAGTTATCGTGCATTGTGAAAATATATTAATAGAAGGGTGGGAGCTCATTTTCATTTTACTTAGAAAATCTTGACATCATTTTCTATTTATTTTTAATACATTAGTATGGAAATAATTAGTAGTTCCAGCTGTCCAACAAGTTTTTAATGACAATAACTTATCATTAGATCATTCCCGTTAAACACACACACACACACACACACACACACACACACACACACACACACACACACACACTATTTAATGACTACATTTCCCCTTTTGACACAAAAGTTGGCATAGCAACATTTTCTAATCTCAATAATCAATATTAGCCCTCCTCTCCTCTGTTGAGGGATCCCTCTGTGACTACAGTTGCATATAAATTTTGCAAATAATTTAGACATCATCTTGCCTATTTCACCTATTTTTAAATTTTTTTTAAATAAGATTTGATTTAATGTAAAAATGATTTAAGAATTGTAACCAATTGCAACCAATAGTAACCAGTTTGAACATGGTTAAAAGACTGTAAAAATCTACATATAGACAGAATGATGCAATGATGTGAAAATCATTTAACCACCATATTTAATAATAATAATAAAAAAAAGTATTAAGACAAAATATTAAAATACTGCTGATATTTATTATTTCAAGAACAACATCAACACTTTAGATGTCAGCCTCATGTTTAAAAAAAATTAAGATTGGCAACTATTATATGCCAGGATCCTATACTGGCATATAATAGTGAGTATGGATTATAATGTACATAGTATGAGTATCTTACACATCAGTGAAGGTACCATGAATACCAAACATTAAACTGAGGTTTTGGAGCAAGTTGTTTTTCTCAGGGAAAGCCTTGCTTATTTCAGCAAGACAATGCTTAACCGTGCTTCTGTTCCAACAGCATGTCTCCACTGTGCAATAACCTGGTGTTTTATAGTAACCTGCTTACAGTTCAGACCTGTCACCCACTGAAAAGATCTGACACAGTAAGAAGTGACATTTCTGATGGACTCCCCTGAACTGTTTAGCAATTTATTTCAAGCAGAAAAGAAAAAAGATTACACAGAAGTAAACATCATCAGCTGTACCATCTTGTTTTTCTACTATTGTCAGTTAAACAAAGTGTGTAAAGGTTTTGCAAATTCCTGCATCCTGTTCGGATTTATATTTTACACAGGATCCCAACTTTCTTGAATATGCAGTAGTGGTTCATAGAGCTGGTAGGTAATAGTTAGCCTTAAAGAGCTGCTGGCTGTTTGTTTACTGCACCTGTACATCTTGGTGTGGTGTTGAAGTTAGGGGGTAAAATTTCAAAAGAAAAATAGAAAAAGGGCCAGATAATAAGGCAAGGATGGGACAAGTGATTGTGTAAGACAACATATTTGATGTGTGGGCTTCATTTTCCTCAGATGACAAGGGTCAACGTCTGTTAGGGAATTTGGCCTGGTGCTCTGAAAGGTTTGGAAATGCACTTGGCAAAAGTATAGAGAAAAGAAGGGATGGCTGAAAACGTTATTAGAGAGTCAATCTAACTTTAATTATATAATTAAGGAGAATACTAATTAATGCTTCTCTTTCCATCTACATTGGCCTTAGGCAAAAACATTATCTCAACACGTCCCAGTTTTTTTCCCTTTTCTT